GATTTACTTGTAGGGTTTAGGGTTTAGGGTTTAGGATTTACTTGCAGGGTTTGTAGTTTAGGGCTGGAGTCACCAACTTCATGTCTCCTCGGCAGGCTCCATTTGTTCGCCGGCTCAAGAAGGGCGCCAGGGTGGAGATGTTCGAGTGGGACAAGACCCGCCGCACCTTGGCCCAGAAGAGTACTTGGCGGTTTATGGTATTTCTTATCTATTTATAACTGTACGTATAACTGTACTTATAGCCATGTCAGTGCACTTAGGGGGCTTTCTATGCGGGTTAGAATTACAATTCCATGAAGAGTATAGTTCTCTAAATGAGGGTCCCTTTTGTCATATGGTCCCTACATGGTATGGCACTTTAAAAGAGGACCCCCCCCCCCCCCTTCCCCCCCTCCCCAAAAAAAAAGGGGGGTGACCGTATTTCAGACAATTGCCATTTAGCAGTTGTCATGCTTCATCCTGCACTCCTCACGAGGATGGCGCCGCGTGTGCATCGTGCCTTGGCCGCATGTCTTAGAGGCCCAAAATTCACATAAGCATCAGGATCCCACTAAGGGTTTAGGGTTTAGGGTTTAGGGTTTACGGTTTAGGGTTTAGGGTTTAGGGTTTAGGGCGTTACGAGGGCCCCGAGAAGGGGGACTCTGGAGATTCCTCTTTGAAGAATCCTCACGTTTGTCGTGTGGTTTTTTGGGCCCGGAATGTTCCTTCTTCCTCTGGCGCTCGATGTTCTTGCTTTCAAAAAAGTCGAGCCATGGTCCCCATGAGGGGTTTAGGGTTTAGGGTTTAGGGTTTAGGGTTGAACCCTAAACCCTAAATCCCCAATCCCCCCTCAAGGAAGCACCAGTGGATGCCGAAGTGAAGCCGCGCGCCCCCTCCATGACAGAGGCGCAGAAGAGGCCGGCTGCTCGTGACGAGTTGTCTTGGTGGCCCAGTGGTGCCCGTTGCCCTTTTTTTGGTCCAAGGTTCCCTTGAAGTATCCAACCCAAAAAACGGGTGCCCATAATACAACATGGGTTATTGGGCTACCAATCAGGTGGGTACTTAAGAGTAGGGCTGTGAGTACCCTACTGAACGTTATTACTCCTACAACTCTATGGCTGCCCTGACTTCTACCCTACCCATAGCCACCAATACTCGCAAGTGCTACCGCATAGTCATGAGTGAGGCAAGCTAGATTCATTGATCCCTTTCTCCACGCTTTTCTAGGTAGGACTGATAGTTTACATGTCCCCGCATTGGGTTTTTATTTAGGAAAATGTCTTCCAAGGGTTTAAAGGGCCAACCTAGTTGGGCTCGATTAGGGCCGCCTTCTTTGCACCTTAGCAATATTTTTAAATGCCGCAAGAACTACCAAAATGAAGAAAAGCAACAGCCATGGCTGTTTCAATAGCAAGAGTCATAGCAATAGCAAGAAGCATAGTAACAACAAAAGATTAAAGATGCTAATAAAACAACAACAGCACCCGTGGCAAGAGTCACAGTGCCTAAAGCCCTAAGCCCCCCCTAAACCCTAAACCCTAAAGAGGCTGAGAGCACTTCTGAACCCAAGCATGTACAACCCTAGGAGTTTAATGAGCTCCCAGGTGCCCTAAACCCCAAACCCCAAACCCTAAACCCCAAACCCTAAACCCTAAACCCCAAACCCTAAACCCTAAAAACCCTAAAAACCCTAAAGTACAACCGCTGGGGTTTCATGAGCTCCCAGGTGGGCCACTGCGGAGCCTGTGTGGGATTCTTGCTCGCCCAGTGGTACCCTTTACCCTGTGGTCTTAGGGTTTGGGGTTTGGGGTTTAGGGTTTGGGGTTTAGGGTTTGGGGTTTGGGGTTTAGGGTTTAGGGGTTTAGGGTTTAGAGTTTAGGGTTTTAGGGGTTTAGGGTTTCGGGTTTGGGGTTTAGGGGGTTTAGGGGGTTTAGGGGGTTTAGGGTGCCCAGTGGTACCCTGTTCCCATATCGGCTCTGATAGAGCACCGCAGCGTATAGGATACTCTTTCAATTCGGGTTTAGGGTTTGGGGTTTGGGGTTTAGGGCGTGCCAAACGGAAGCGCGCTTTGGGAGCGCGCGGTAGTCTGCAGACCTACCCACCCCAAGACCGCCCACTTACAACTCTCAAGGAGTTAAGACCTTGTATTTTTTTACGAAGCATCACATGAGTCAGCACTCACGCCCTTTTGGGGACCTCCACAAGGTGCGTGGACCATTACGTTTATTGCACTTACTACGCGCGTTTATAAACTAATTCATGTTTTCACTTCGTATTTATTATTTACTTCTATCGCGGGCTAATAAAGAAAGAGAAAAGTGTGCCCGCGGAAAAAGCCCAAATTTAATTAATAAAATTCACGCTTCGTTTACTACGTTCTGCATACATTGTGCAATCGTTACAAAGCCATAAAACTCACACCTGGTGGAGGTAGTCTAAGAACGCTATATCGGACTGTTACATGGAGTCATGTGCTTCAAGCATCTTTACTTTATTCAGGATTATTGGGAGTGGGGAAGGGGACATATGAGCTATGGACGCATCAACTTTGCAATGATTGGGTTTGGCAGAGGGGGTGAGACAGTTACGGTATAGGGTTTTCGAGTTTCATCAATTCGAGTGCTAATTCATGGCGCATGCCACCAAACAATATAACTCTACCAGTCCAAGTGGGCGGTCTTCTCTGATTGGTGTCTACGGAGGCAAGTGCGTCCACGCCGTGCCTCTGTAGCAGATGTCGCTGACTTCTTTATTCACCTCAGAGATTTTAGTATTATAAATTGTATGGTCTTTTAGTATATTATGCCGGGCCGTCACGATATGGGGGATTTGCGATGCGCAGACGGAAAGGCGAGGCAGGGTCAGCGAAGACAGCTTGAGTTGGGGCGAAGGGCCTAAGGCCAGGGATGGCCGGGCCAGGAACAGACACAGGCAGGAGGCTTGGTTGGCGCGAGGGGGCTAAAGCCAGGGAGGCAGGGTCAGGGGCGAAGGGGTAAGGCCAGCAAAGCCAGCACCAAGGCCAAAACCAGAGCCAAGGCCTCCAGCGGCAAGGGCCAGCTGCCAGGGCCAGGGCCAGGGCCAAGATCAAACCAGCCCCAGATCAGGGGCCGAGCATTTTTTGCCACAGCCCTGCCAACGGCCCTGGTCCGCACAGCCCAGCGGACGGAGGTGAGGTCCAGGGGTCTCCAGGGGCCCGGGGGGCCTCCAATGCAGGACCCAACAATGCGCGCGGACAGTGTGGGGTTTAGGGTAATAATTTCTAATACAGTGACAACTGCTGACTCGGCCTGTGCCTGCCTGGAGGGTAAGCCAGCCTGGAGGCAAGCTCGGTCGCCCGCCTGGGGCTCCCTCGCAGGGTCTCTCTGAGCGCTCGACCAGCGCCCGCCTACCCCAAAACACAAAGAGAGTGGGGTGGCGGGCGGGTTTAGGGTTTAGGGTTTGGGGTTTAGGGTTAAGGGGGCCCAGTGTACCCTGTTCCCTTTTTTTGGGTGCAAGGGCTCCCTGAAGAAAGTAACGAACCCCAACGAAGGGTGCCGATATTGCCCTGGTTCCCTACATACTCATTTCAAGGGTCTGTATAGGGGGATATAGGAACCCTAAACCCTAAACCCTAAACCCTAAACCCACCCTTAGGGTTTAGGGTTTAGGGTTTAGGGTTTAGGGTACCTCATCCCCTTATTAGAATAGTTACTGGGCTACCAAGGATTCAGCAAAGGGCTGCTGGGTGGATAAGGCTCCCAAGGTGGAGGTGCTGGACTCCGACACGGAGGAAGCGGCTTCTTGACCCTCTTTTGGGGCTTTGTGGGGGTATAGGGGTGTTTAGGGTTTAGGGTTCCTTACATCCGCCTGGTTGAGTATGAAGTTTGGGTTACTGGGCAACTTTGCCCTGGTACCACAGCCTAGGGCCTAAAATCCTGAACATCATATGCCCCCCCTAAACCCAAAACCCTAAAACCCAAACTCGTATGCTCCCTAAACCCTGCAGGCGTTTTGTGTTCCGGACCTGGAACTTCCAGGGTTCATGGTTTGGGCTTGAGAGGCTCGGGGTTTTGGGGGGCTTTTTTTTGTTCATAGTTTAGAGTTTAGGGCTTCAACTCTAATCCCTTGTCGGGGCGGCGTCAACTGCTGAGGTGGTGAGGAAAGACGCGTGGATCATGGTCCCAAGCTCTTGGGAGAGTAATGCTTTTTCTTGCCGGTTGTTTAATATTTGGGGTTTCACTTCAACTTAAGCCCCCTAACTCCAAACCTACACCCCAACTCCCTGAAACCCCCCAAAAAGCTCCGAACAAGCAGGGTTTAGGGTCCCCTAACTCCCCAAAAAACCCCCAAAAAAAGCTCCGAACAAGCCCTAAACCCCAAACCCTAAACCCCAAACCCTCAACCCTAAACCCTAAAAACTCCTAAAAAGCAGGTCCATCATCCCGAGCTGGGCTTGCTGCTTCAAGCGGCCCAAGAGTTGGATGAGCCAGTGGCCCCTCGTGGCTGGGTTTGAAGATTTAGGGTTTAGGGTTTAGGGTTTAGGGTTTAGGGGTTCAGGGTTTAGGGTTTAGGGTTTAGGGCTTAGGGTTTAGGGTTTCGGGGGTTATGAGGGTTTTAAGGGTTTTGGGGCTGAAGGTTTAGGGTTTGATGGAGGAAACTCGTGCGTGGAGAGACCACATGGCCCAAGTACAGAATATACGGTGCTAGTATGAGAATTTTCGTCAGTTCTACACAGTGTTGACACTGGAATCTATGTTTCCTGAACAGCTTCAATACTGCAAGTCTTGAAGTGTGTGTGTGTGTGTGCTTGCAGCCACCCAGCAATCGAAACTATGCAGCACAAGATGTAAACAATCAGCGCGCCCGTGCGAAGGAGCACGCCTCTCATTGTCCTCGCTATCTTAGTTTGAAGGAATGAAGTCAAGTTTCAGGCACAGCTAAAGTGCAAACCTGACCCCTAAACCCTAAACCCTAAAAGCCGTATTAGTGAGCAAGCTGTGGGGCCAGCATGCTAGTTCTTCGCAGCTGAAGCGTACATAGCAATGGGGCGCAAATCACGATCCTTGTGTGCAGCAGCTGCTGCCACAGGTGTGCTGGGTCTGGTGCTAGCACTCCCAGCCCACAACAACCAAGAATGTTTTACATCCGAGTCAGTGGCCTGGTTCACTTTCCCACGAGCCGCACGGCAAAGAGCGAGAGTGAGCCAGGTGGGCCACAAAACCGCGCGAGAGGTACAATCCGACTCTGCCGCCTTCTTCTTCAGTAGATACAGCGCGACAAGGACTTTCGAGTCTATACTTGCGGGAACACCACGCCTGTCAGTTCCTTGGTAGCCCAGTGGTACCCTCTACCCTTTCCTTTCTTAACTATGAGTTCCCTTATAAAAGTAACCAACCCAAAAAACGGGGTGCCCTAAACCCTAAACCCCTAAACCCCTAAACCCTAAACCCTAAACCCTAAACCTACTAAGGTTCTGGCTGGACCTCCAAGCTGTGGCAAGAGTCGCTTCATCGCCGGAGTCATGCACGAGTGGCAGCATCCGCAAGGCTTCTTAGTAGTAGGGTTTAGGGTTTAGGGTTCAGGGTTCAGGGTTTAGGGTTTAGGGTTTAGGGTTTAGGGTTTAGAGTAGGTAACCTTTAACCTTCTTGGGGTAACAGAATCTCGCCTCATAATCCCAAAAGGTTAACCTTTAGTTCCCCCAGATTCCTGGACAACTAAGGCTTCATCTACATCAACCTCAGAGGTGTAGACCTCACTTCCACGCAGGCCCTCACAGACACCCTGCTCCGAGCAGCCAGGGAGAGTTGGCCCAGAAGGATGCTGAGGAAGTTCAGGAGGGCGAAGAGGAAAGGAAGGGTCAAGTGGCTGAGATCTTCAAGAAAGTTGGAAGCATCAAATGGCCGCTCGCTGCCTTTGCGAGAGCTGCAGGATGTACTTCGGACATTAGGGCAGATGTTGAGCAAGAAGCCGTTCAGGAACTGGTGGGGTGGCACGAAGATGCAGCCAGTGCTGTGCTTTGATGAGGCGCATCTTCTGCATCAAGAGCTCGTGGCAGCAAAGCCCGACTCGAGTGATACCAGAAGTGCGTATGAGATCTTGATGAGGTGGATTGTCCGGAACACCAAAGAGGAGCGCAACTTTCACGTGCTCATGGTCTCATCAGCGCCACGCTTCGCCAGCGAGCTCTATAAGCACCCCCAAGCACAAGTGAAACCCTTGGTGCTGGGTGACTTAGATAAAGCAGATGCTAGCCAGTTTTGGAAGAGATGTGGTGGTGAGAAGGTGAAGTTTGATGACGCGTTCGCAGCGGTGGGTGGTCATATGCACCACTTGGAGAGCTTGGCCGAAGCACCGGACTATGACTTTGAACTTCAGAGCATCCAGGCCAGCTTGAACTACGTGGCGACTGACTTTCTGACAAAGCACGGCAAGCATGCGGTGTTAGCCATCGAGTTCATCCTCAGCAACGGCGGGATGGTGCCGAAGAGAGAGTTGCTGCAGAAGCTGCAAGAGAATGGTTACCCTTTGCTGAAGGAGGCTGCTGAGAAGCTCGAGGAGATGATCGATGACAATGGTTTCCAAGAGAGGATCGTCCAAGGCCTCTCCTCGGATTTGCCAGCAGCTGCTCGTGACATGGAGCTCCCCATAGTCATGGCGCCATGTCGCGCGGTGCGTAAGCTGTGGGAAGTCAACCTAGAAAGCTGGAAGACTCTGGTTGAGTGACATCCCTGACCTCCACTTCGTGCTGTGTTCATTGGAAGCTACATTCTCCGACACGTACATGCGAGGTGGCCGCGAGGACAAGACGTGAAGCTGCGTAGATGTGCTCAGCATTGGCACGATGGTGGGCCCAGTGAGGCTCGACCCAGAGAATGCTGCCGCCATGGGAACCCTAAACCCTAAACCTTAAACCCTAAACCCCAAAGCCTAAACCCTAAACCCTCAAGCACCCACCGCCATGGCTTCCGACGATGGAGCTCTGTCGTTGAGCTGGGGCCTTCACGCACATAGCTGCAGGCCGCCACTTCAGTGCAGCATTTTTGCCAGAAGAAGAAGCAAAAAGTTCGAACACACAGCATGAGGAGATGAGCAAGCAAAGTGTTGCCAACGCTGTCTGGACTCTCCAAGCCAGCTTCGTAAACCCTAAACCCTAAACCCCAAAACTCGTGGTCTCATCGGGCTGGTGGATGCGTTTTCACATGCAGTCATGGTAAGCTCTTGAGGACTGCTACAGGCAGGGGTTTAGGGTTTAGGGGGGTTTTGGGCGGTTTTGGAGTTTTAGGGGTTTTAGGGGTTTTAGGGGCTTAGAGGGAGATTTAGCGCATCGGCGGTCTAGGGGCTTGCTGGGCTTGGGCTTGATTTGGAATAAGCTTTGAGTTTAGGGGTTTTGGGGTTTTGGGGTTTCAGGGGCTTTAGGGGCTTAGAGGGAGATTTAGCGCATCAGCGGTCTAGGGGCTTGCTGGGCTTGAGTTGGAATAAAAACTTTGTGAACTTCTAGTGACACCTGGAAAGTGGCAGGGGCCGGGGGATTAGGGCTTAGGATGCATCGACTTTCTAGATCCCGAACCCTCAACCCTAACTTCACCTAAACCCTAAACCCTAAACCCTCCCAGGTGTCTGTAATGTGAAGACTTCTGCTCCCAGTTTGTGATTGGAGTCCAGTTGGTTGATTGTCCACGACCAAAACGGGCCTTTCCCCATCAGCCGCCATTCGGGAGCTTCTCAAACTTGGGGGCAAGCCACGTGCACCTTAGAATGACTGGGGGTTCAGGTTTTAGGGTTTCGGGTTCTGGGTTTAGGGTGTAGGGTACCTTAAAACTTGACTGCTAGGGTTTAGGGTTTAGGGTGTAGGGTGTCGGGCTGGACATCTTAGGGTCAACAAGGTTTAGGGTTTAGGCTGTGATCTGGACCCCCTTTCAAACCTACAGGGTTTCGGGTTCAGGGTTTAGGGTTTAGGGTTTAGGGTTTAGGACGCCTTCAGCCCGTAGAAAGGTGACGCTCCAACCAGCGAGCCGAAGTCTGTGACCCGGGAGCTGGTTCATGCAACGTTTTTTTGTTGAAGCTCAGGGTCTTTGGGGTTTAGGGCTTTTAGGGTTTGGGGTGTGTAGAGCTTTGGTGCTTTTAGGGTTTTTGGGGGGTTTTTGGGGCCCCGACCCGTTTAGGGTTTGGGGTTTAGGGTTTAGGGTTTCGGGTGTAGGGTTTAGGGTTTAGGGCAAAAGAGCCGAGGCCCAGCAGCAGCAAGAGCAGGAGATGCCGGCGCACCCTGCCGCTGCCGTTCCCTCAGCCTTCGCGTTCGCTGCTGAGAAGGCCCGCACGGCCAGGGCTTTGAGGGCTCTAGGGGTTTAGGGGTTTAGGGTTTAGGGTTTAGGGTTTAGGGCAACCGTAAATCCCAAACCCTCAACCTTAAAGCCAAAAGGGTTTGACCCTCTTTTGGTGGTTAGGCTCCCCCCTTGTGAACAGAAGAAGGGTTTAGGGTTTAGGTTCCTCAACACCATGAGAGTCCCATGTGCCTAAGGGTCTATAAAATCTGCTTGGATCCAACGTCACTACGTGGGAGCTATCTTTATATGGGCTCGGGTCAAGTAAGCATGATGCCTTTTGTTGAGGGGAGACCCTTAAGTCACAGGGTCGCAGAAAGCACGGACCCAGAGAAGGCACGGTGTAGGGTTTGGGGTCATAGGGAGTAGAGGACAGGCCGCAGCTCATGAAGTCGTAGCGGGGAGTTTTGCTCCGTTGCAGCCAGATCCTTCTCAGAGACCCCAGATCAATCAGCGTGGCATGGCACCGCCCCTCCTTGCAGCATCTCTTTCTTCCAGCAGCCCTACTGACCAGGAAGCAACAAAGTTTGGTGTCAAGGTTCAGGGTACAGGGTTCGGGCAGACAGAGAACCCAAACCCCAAAGCCCCACCAAATCCCTAAGCCCTAGACCCCTCAAATCCCTAACCCTAGACTCTAAGCCACCTCTAGAAGCCCTAAACCCAAAGCCCTGAACCCTAAACCACCTCTATAAGCCTAAACCTAAACCACCTCTGCAAGCCCTAAACCCTAAACTCTATGCTCTAAAACCCTAAACCCCACAGCACCATGGTCAGGCGCGCTTCGATTTCTACTGGGGCAACACACCGAACGCGTCGCCGCCCCTGCAGATCCCAGCACGGGTCCAGAGCCTGGGTTAGGGTTTAGGGTTTAGGGTTTAGGGTTTAGGGTTTAGGGTTTAGGTTTAGGGTTTGTGGTTTAGGGTTTGTGGTTTAGGGTTTGGGGTTTAGGGTTAAGGGTTAAGGGTTTAGGGGCCTAGGCAGGCCCCAAACACTAAACCCATCCTCCCCCTAACCCTCAACCCTCAGCCCTAAACCCTAAACCCTAAACCCTAAACCCTAAACCCTAAACCCTAAACCCTAAACCCTAAACCCTAAACCCTAAACTAAGTGAGGGGTCGCTTCCGTCGAGCGACAGACCCCGAACGCTCGGCCAAGGGCCTTACAGCCCGAGCGCCCAAGCGAAAAGAGAAACGGAAAGGTGAGGGTTAAGCATCACCGTCTGTCCTGGACAGGCCAACGGACATCGGCCTTTTTTACGACAACGTCAGTACTCGGCTAAGGGATGGCCGGCACCCAGACCACCTTTAGCGTAGCTAAAGTATAACCCCAAATCGTAACCCTTTGTTTCTGGAGGTCGGTTCATGATTTTGGGTTCAGTTTGCCGGGCCCCCCCCCCCCCCCGGGGCCCCCTGGCCCCTGGTGGCTGGATTCCTGGACCAGAAGGCTGACGAACCCCTTTACCTCCCAACCCCCCCGGGGGCCCCCTGGCCCCTTGTGGCTGGATTCCTGGACCAGAAGGCTAGGAGGCTGGCGAGGGGGTCCAGGCAGGCTGGTTGCTCAATTTCGTGATTTTTCATGGATTTTGCCTCTGAGGCCCCCGCCTGGCCGACTCTTTACCAAGCCCCGGCACGCCCCCAAAGGCCCGAACCAACCTGGAAGGTGCTTCAAAAAGAGGGGAGAGCCCAGGATTTGCCCCCGTACCCGCAATGAAAAATGCTATTTTTTTTAGTACTGAAATCGATTACCCCACAAGGCCCTTGGGGCACCAAGAGCCACCAAAAGGCTTCAAAAGGCCCTCTAAAGGAGGGGCTCCCAGGATTTGCCCGCCCGCAATGAAAAATGCGATTTTTCGACTTAGAACGATGGTTTTGGGCACCCCTGCATTTTTGCTCCAACAGGGCCAGGAAAGCCCAAGCAAGCCCCAGCAAGGCCCCAGAGACCCCAAGAGCCACCAAAAGGCTTCAAATAAATAAGGGCCTCTGCGGGCCCTGACACGCCGAAGGCCCGAAAAGGGCCGAGGCTACCCCCAACCCCAGCTTAAACCCTAACACCGCAGCTTTAAAAACATCAAAGCAAGCTTGCAAGCCAAACTCCCGCGACTTGGGACTCCGGGCCCTCTGGAAGCTGGTGGGCCTCTTTTCTCTAGCCGGACGCTCAGAGCTTAAGAGGCTTGGGCCCCAGGATTTGCCCGTGCCCGCAAGGACAAATGCGATTTTTTGTACTAAGAACGAGTTTTGGGCACCCCCCCAGAAGGGCCAGGAAAGCCCCCAGGAAGCCCCCAAGAAGCCCCAAGAGCCACCAAAAAGGCTTGAGGCCCGTAAAGAAGGGGAATCCAGGAGCCGGCACAAAGGGTTTCCCTGACCTTCAAATAAAAAAGGGCCTCTACGGGCCCTGACACGCCGAAGGCCCGAAAAGGGCCGAGGCTACCCCCAACCCCAGCTTAAACCCTAACACCGCAACTTTAAAAACGTCAAAGCAAGCATCGGGGCACAAGAAAATAAATTCCATCAACCCTAAACCCTAATAGAGTATAGTGTGGGTGGCCGGGGTGGGTTGACGGGCAACGCGAGCGCGCGGCCCGGGGCGCTTCACACCCGAGCGCGCGCCCTCCTCTGACACACCCTAAACCCTAAACCCTAAACCCTAAACCCTAAACCCTAAACCCTAAACCCTAAACCCTACCCCTCCTTACTGGGAGGGAGGGAGGCCGGGGGGGGAAGCCTAGGAGTCAGCCACAGAGCCTCCCCGAGCCGCAGCGTGACGGAGAGTTGCCTGAAGCGTCCGGCGCGCCTGGGTCTGGTTTTAGGGTTTAGGGTTTAGGGTTTAGGGTTTAGGGTTTAGGGTTTAGGGTTTCGGGTTTAGGGCTTAGGGTTTAGGATTCAGGGTTTCGTGTTTCGGGTTTCGGGAGAGCCCCTTGGGAGGAATCCAGAAAGTAAAGGGGCCCTCCCCGCTTCAAGTTAGCTGCAGCTTCGCTGCTGGGGGAGGGGGGGGGGGGCTGGGGGGGGGGGGGGGGGGGGGGGGGGGGGGGGGGGGGGGGGGGGGGGGGGGCCTGGTTCAGGAACCTCCTCCATGGGGGAGTTCTAAGCCCTAATTCCAGAGAATCCGAACCCCAAGCCCCTCAGCCCCGAAAACCCCTAAACCCGAATCCCTAAACCTGAACTTTAAGCCCTTCTAGATCCTCGGCTTCTTCGGCGAAGCTCTGAAAGCTAAGGGCTCAGCGCATGGAGGGCTTAGGGTTTAGGGTTTAGGGTTTTGCAGGGACTTTACCTTGGACCCTTAAGTAGTACCCTTGGGTTTGGGGACCCTTCTTGAAGATTCCTAATTAATTTTCAAAAGGGCCCTAAACCCTAAACCCTAAACCCTAAACCCTAAACCCTAAACCCTAAACCCTAAACCTTCAGGGCA